GGCCAGTGGCTGTATGAAGTGGGTGTGAAGGTTGAACAAGGTGAACGGATCCTCTAGAGTTTAGATAAGCTTCTTCTTTTGTAACAACTTGAGCTACTTGATCTTTAAATGGCCAAACAATGGAGTTGAAGGGATTCTTGTTTCTGAAATTTAGTGGTGTCCCAGCTTCAGACATTACATTGTCATTTTAGACATCAACAACATCTGAAATAAAAAATCAGCAACTTTAAAAGTGCACAACACTGAAATGAACTTCAACGCCTTGGTGGCCAGTAACATGAGCAACCAGTAGTGAGCACCACAAGGCTCAGACCAAACAATACGCACCAAATACTCTCCTTCAAATGTTTATATTTGAATTCCCATGTCTCTAATGTGACACTAAATCAACATTTCCAGTAAATAAGATGATTGTGGGGGTCTGCGCTGCATGAACCCAGACAATAGAAGGAACAAATAGTTGGGGTGGTCAAAGAAACACGAGCCGGCTGGTGAGAGGGGTCTGTGATAGAATATATGCAGGAGACATTAGGATGCCTATTTCTGAAAATGATGAAGTGTGACATGTGCTCAGTCCTCATCTAAACGCTCGCTGCCTCCCTCCCACACAGGCTTGGAGAGCTGGCTGGGGGGGAGGAACCGAGGAAATGCCTGTGGCCGAGCCCCTTATTTTTCCATGGCAGCGTTACAAACATATAGAGCAATAACAGCCTCTGGATGTGCCCTCTCAAAAGCAGCACTATGTTGGCAGCGCCTGCTATGAAAGCCTTCTGTGTGTAGCTATACATATTCTTATCTGTTTTCCATTGCTTGCAGGTATGTGTGTGTTCACCGCATATGACATATAATAGGTGCACGTGTTTATTTCACCAGTGTTCCTGTGTGAATGATCCGACTCAGCTGAACACAGGTAGCTTCACTGAGCCCGACTCATGGGAGTAAATATGTCACAGAAATAGACTGGAGGTAAATGGTGGAGACTGTGCCTCGGCTGAATGGACGAGACTGTCTCGGAAACAGGAGTAAATAAATCTTTGCATCCACAAATTTGCAGCTCAGCCACAAAGCAGTAAGACCTAACACATTCGCCTGCTTATGTACATATGAGGATTTTGTGGATTGTGTACAGTTAACCCATTCAGGCATGATCCCATCATTTAAAGAATACAGTGAATTCTTTACATTTAGTGCCTTTAATCAAATTATTAGACCATTCATTCATTTTTTACAGCATGACAGTTTCATCTTCGGGACATAAAGGACAACATTTCACATTTTCACCCTTATCTTCAAGTGTTAGTGCTGAGCTGCTTTAAGCTATTTATTCATTTATATCTTAGATAAAATTAATTAATGCATCCACCAGTCCTGCAATAAATCCTCCTTCATGTCAGCCCTGTGACAGACTGGCGACCTGTCCAGGGTGGACACCGCCTCTTGCCCAGTGTCAGCCCCCCGTAACCTTCATCAGGATAAGCGGTGCAGATAATGGATGATGGTTCAACTGACTGATCGTACAGAGGCTGCAGTTTGTGCTGCTGTTGAACTGTATTGTGTTACTGTTTACTGAGGTGAGGTGTTATTTAGCCTACCCTACCCTCATTGACAGAAACAGAGTGGACAAGACAAATTACAGTTGGGTCGGTTAGGTTGAAGTGAGCCACACTGTTTGGAGGTTCTGCCCCTTCTATTAGCACAAAGCCAGAGCAGTAATACCTTTTTGAGGTTTAGGTGACTAGAACGATTTGATTAGGCTTTGAGATAAAAGAGAACAGGACTGGCTGCTGAAATCAGATGCTCTCTCATCCTCTTGATGTACAACTTTGGTGATGCAACTGACGGCTGAGCAGCCGTAAGGAAGGCTCATTTTGGCCACAGATCCTTTCATGATTCTGTTGACCTGAAGAAACGCGTGGGCCTTTGAAACCAGGAAAAGTAAAGCAGGATGAAGACATCCATCCATCTGGAAGGAATGTGCATTAGGAAAATAAAAGCAAAGTACTTATAAAATATACACTCACTGACCACTTTATTAGGTACACCTGTACAAGTGCATCGTGGATGTGACTGGGGAGGACAGAAATATAGACACACATCCTCTGCTTGGCTTCTTGGTGATGGTGCTGATGTTAGAAGTCCATTTCAGGTCCTGGGAGACAGTGGAGCCCAGGAACTTGAGTGTAATCAGCTCCAGGTTGTTGCGACCGCACCACAGGACCAGCTGTTCAACCTCCTGTCCGTATGCAGGCCCGCCACCTCTGGATAAGAGCTGTGTTTTCCTGTTTTGACATGTAAATCTCTTGTGTCAACCATGTATGTACTTGGTGTCTTTCCTGCTGTTTATTTAGCACTTGTTTGTATCCTTGTGCATTTTCAAAACTAAAGTACTCTGAGGTGTTTGAGGAAACACTTTTATTGAAAGTTGCATCCTTCCCGCCTCAGGCTTGACAGCAAAAACATATGGACTGTGCATTTTTCATGTTCCTGGTTTTGTCTTTTTCCTGTTTTTTCTCTTTTTTCTGTTATTACATGGTTTCATATCAAAAATACCATAAGAATACCATATCTTATGTGGTTTTGTCCTAGTGTGTGCTGCCTTTTTTCTAAAATTACCTTTTCTTTTAAAAATAGTCATGACTAACATAAATAAACGTGTATTTCTTGGATGGGCTCTCCACATTAAGGAGGAGCGAGCACCCTGCTTCTATGTTTTCTCCATAATTCTTGCACAAAGATATCAACATGCCCAAAACTGTGTTCTACTCGTCTTTGAGCATTTCATTAAAGACTTATTGCTGCTTTGAACAGACCAGATTGTGACTGTGTTGCAAAGATGCAGAGCCGAGCTGGCGTCTGCTTTTATTTTTGACATCCGGCAACATCCTGTTAAGGTTTTAAGACCTCCCTGAGCTTCATGTCACAAATGCAGACATGCATGCAACACATGGGTATGTTTTAATCAAAGTGATGAAGAGCAACATACAGATGAGTGACGAATGAAAGGAAACTGCCGTCTCTTCTGAGATGACAGTGCCCCCATCCACTGGGCACCAGGGGTCACTGAATGATTTAATAAGGATGAAAATGATGTGAATCATATGTTACATCTCACTACATCTCAGCTGAACAGCTATGGGAGATGTTGGAGCGACATGTTAGACACCGTCTCCACCAAGAGCGGTGTTCATCCCTCCAGGAGGGTTCAGAGACCTGGGGAGTCAGTGCCAAGGTGGAGCTGCTCTGGTGGCACCTGGTGGCCCAGCACCTCACTGGGACTTTCTGGGTCAGGCTTTGTTTTCGTCTGTCACTGTCTGTCGCTGTCGGTCACACTGAGAACAAACCAGGGCAGCTACTGATCCACACCCTGTTGTGGGGTATTTGACACTTTTCCTGTTTGTTTTCTTTGTATGTCCTGCTCGATGTGGAGTTAAAATTATACCATTTTCAGAAATGAGAAAAATGTAGCAAATGATGGAAACCCATTCATGCAGCCGTTGTCGTGTTTCTATCCTTCGGGTGCTTGAACTCAGACAGCAACGGGAAAAGTCACAACTCATTAACTCGAACTGTTTCTTCTTTAAAAGCGTCTGCTGACAGGGGCTTCACAGTCAGAGAGTCTTCCCTTTTCCACAGTCTTAGACTCTCATACATACATTTGAGTTTGTGAAACGCTTTTGGCGACACTCGATGAGCCTGGGGATTATTGCCATAGCCAACCCAGATATTATAGAATTACAGTCAGACAGAGCGACTCCTGGTGCTGTGTGGACAATTACTCTGCGGCCTGGATCTCAGTGGGAAGGCTGCATTAGAAAAAACCTCAGTCTATCAGATGCTGAAAAACAGGGAAGTGTTGGCAGATAATGTGTCAATACCAACCAGTGTAATCACAGCGGGGCCCAGAGGGGGTTTGCTACTGCTTTATTAGAAAGTTCCTCTCCAAGAACAAATGTAACACTGATGGGTTCTTTCAAAATGCAGACAGGCTCTGGTCAAATAACATTTATATTAACTCGGCCTTACTTTGAAGACCCTAAGAAACATTGTTTGGTCTCCTACTCTGGACTCTCTGGTGTTGGAACAAGCTTTGATGTTATCCAAAGGCATAATGCAACCTCTTCAAAGACTCCCTCCACCTGCAGGAGCCCTCAAAACCACGCTTTCATATTAGATTTCTGAGGCCAAAATGCACAAGAGTTTGAAGGCTCTTTGGCACCTTGAAAGATATTTACAGCAGAGTTAAGCTCTTTGCTGTGATCCTCGTGATGTGCACCGTCAGCTCAGACCCCACACTCTGCAGTGAGCTGCCTCCATCTTGTGGTGAATGTGCTGTCCTACACCAAAGCTCCACACGTTTTGAGAATAGCTGGCACTCTGGGTATTGGCACAGAAAAAGGCATCTCAAGGTGGCACTGTGGTTCCACCGTACAATATCTCAGCCAGAGGTGGAGAGAAAGGATTTACTCAGAGGTACAAGGCTGGAGGAAGCTCTTTGCTATGTTAGGTTGAATTTGTGATTATCTTGAAACATTTATAGACTTATCTCTTGTCCAGATGAGATTGACATCTAATTTGCAAGGGGGACCTGAGTACATAAAAATATATCTACATGATTTTAAAATTATTATAGCAGCAATACAAATAGACCTGTATTAGTTAAACACAATTTTAAAACCATGTTGTAAAGAAAAACTTATACTGTGACCTTAATATAATTAAAAGTCAACTCTAGACTGTTAAAAGTGGAAAATGATGACCCGGTTAATCAACATGTAAATCGTTTCATCAGAGCAGCAGGTGGATAAGTGTTTTAATTCATATGTTGTCTTTATATTCACAGTTTGATTTATTGGTTTACTGCTGGTTTATTGTGGTTTCCATGCAGGTGACTGGTAGGCGGGGCTGTGACATCAGTGCAACTGGGAGCACCTGGACTCAAACCTCCTCCATCAGAGCTGCCATCTCAGGCTTCTGAAAGGTTTGGTTTGTCCACGCTGTGTTTTAGTTTCTCTATGCATTTGCAGTGTACTGGTGATTACAGCTCAGTTCTGTACAGTAAATAACATGGCGTGTTCTTCAAGCCCATCATGCCACTGAGCCACTAGTGGTTCATTCATTGCTCAGACCCACAAACATGCATTTTAAACTCTGAGTTCCCAAAGTTAACAAAGATGCCAAATATGCTGCAGCAGTTCATGAGCAGGTTTTGTTATTTATGCATCACTTGGGCTGTTAATGGGCAGGAAAGCAGTTGTGTCCAGTACAGTGTCCACAGAAAGTCAGTTGGTCTGATGTCAGAGTGGAGTTAAAGCTATATTTTCTCAAAAAGTAAGTCATTTCAGTGCAGACTCACTGAGAATAAATACACATATTCTCACTGCAGGTGAAACATTTTACTTTGACCTGCAGAAATTAAAAGCCAGCTTCCTCCTGTCAGGAAAGGTGTCTACAGGAACAGAACATAGTAGGTGTGTAATGGTACGTTCAGCTCACAGACAGTACCCAATGTGACCAGGAAAAATGAGAGGAAAGACCTTAATTCTCATTAGGTTTTCATGTTGTAGCCTGGATGGATAAAATCAACCAGTGCAATAATGTCTGGCAGACTCGGTGCCACAGAGAAGTGAGCTTTCCAGCTCACAGTGCTGACCACCTGGGCTCCTGAAGAAGATGGGAGTTTGTCATTCATGTTATTGTGGTGGTGGAAAACAAAAAGTAAATATTGGTGTAATCACGACAGTATATTTACACTAATAAGAGAATTGCATCCTAAATGATCAAAGTGACAATACCAATATAAAGTATTTTAAATCTTACCAGCTCAAGATTTCCCATAAAAGTGAAGAAATATTATATTGGCCCACCCATGAATCATCTCAGATTTAATAATGGGAGATATTTCAGTTTATATTGCTTTTTTATCTTTAGTTTTGTGCAACAGTTGAGGTCTCATTGAATGAGTGAGGGTGGGTGGGTAAGTCTGTCTATCAAATGCCAATAATTCAAGAAGTGAAAGAAGGACAAGCAAACTGTGATTTTAAAAGTAAGAATCTTGCAGCCTGAGTGCAGTTTGGTGTTTTGTGACTGAGTTTAACCGATCAAGCCTCGGTCTCTGAACCCAGCAGGTGACTGCTGTGTCCCCCCCAGGAGGTTTTGTCAGGGGGAAACATTTGGGAGCCACTGGCCCGCTCTGCTGAAAAAGACACAACGTGACCACACCCCCTGTTACTCAGTGTGTGTCTATTGGCTGTCTGGGAATTATCGGCTGTGTGAATGTGGCTCCTGTGATGGGTTTATACTATTAAAACTCCCCAAACTCCTCCATCCTCCCTGACACTTGTTGCTGCTACCTGCGCACCGCCGGGAGAGGCCACTTGAACCGCTTCAGCATTTCCTCTGGGATTTCCCGCGGGGAGTGATGAACTCCATCGACCCACAGTCCCAGCACCAGCACCACACCTCCCCCACCGTCGGCTCTCTCCCACCCAAAGGCGCACAGGAGGCCCCGGACATGGCTGCTGTTTACTGCGACAACTTCAAAAGCATGTACCACCAGCAGAGCCTCCAGGGCGCACAGAGACCCGCCGGCTACGGCCTAGGGGATTACGCATCGTCTCCAAACCCATACCTGTGGCTCAACGGGCCTGGGGTAAACTCCCCCGCGTCCTACCTGCACGGCAACAACCCGGCGTCGTTCATCCCGCCCTCCTACGGTTCGCAGCGGCAATTCATAACAAACTCACCTGGATTCGGCGGGCCCGACCTGGGATGGCTGTCCATCGCCAGACAGGAGGAGCTGCTGAAGTTGGTCCGGCCGCCCTACTCCTACTCTGCGCTCATAGCCATGGCCATCCAGAATGCGCACGAGAAGAAGCTGACCCTGAGCCAGATCTACCAGTACGTCGCCGACAATTTCCCATTTTATAAGAAGAGCAAAGCCGGCTGGCAGAACTCGATTCGGCACAATTTGTCTCTGAATGACTGCTTCAAGAAAGTGCCGAGGGACGAGGACGACCCAGGTACCGTGAACGCCCGAGGGAAGATATCACTGTAAATAATATGTTACGTTAAGTAAGTGTTAGTGAAGCTGAATTGGATGAGAACTTAGGTGAACAAGCTGACATTGTTACATAACCCCCTAACATGTGTAAAAGAACAAAAGGTGTACAGCATGAATACCCTCTAAATGTTTAGTTTTAGTGCTGTTAGAATCTTTAAACAACACAGTATAATATACAGATGGCCTATATGATGTAGTTCAGTTACCTTCCTAGTGCTTTTTAAATTTTGACAGGACAAATTAGACATAATAGGCCGTGTACCCTCCATCACTTCAAGCTTTACTGAGCCAAAACCAAAATAATCCTAATATGTTGTGTTTCTTATCCTTAATTGCAGGAAAAGGAAACTACTGGACATTAGACCCAAACTGTGAAAAGATGTTTGACAATGGAAATTTCCGTAGAAAAAGGAAAAGACGGTCAGATCCGAGCAGCGCCGGGGGAGCAGCGATGGCAGCAGCAGGGGCCACAAAAGTCGAGGATGGCAGGCCAGCAGTGGCGGCCTCCCTCAAGCCCTCAGACAGTCCTCAGCTCCCGGGGCCCTCTTCCCCTGAGATGGAGGCGATGACCGAGAATCACAAGAGTTCGTCATCGCCACCTGGACTGGCCTCAGCCTCTCCATGTTTTAATAACTTTTACAGCAGCATGTCCACGCTCAGCTCGGGGGCCCCCAGCCGGCAGGGGTCCCTGGGACTGGTGAACGAGCTGTCGAACAGGAACATTACGGCCCTGAGCCCGTACCACCTTAACCCTGGTGGACAGGACGCAGGGGTGTCAGAGCACAGCGAGGGCTTGCATTTCAACCGCGGAGTGTACTACAACTCGTTTGGCAGCGGGCAGAGCGGACAGTTCAACAGCCACTTCTACAACAGCTTCAGTGTCAACAGCTTGATCTATCCCAGGGAAGGGGCTGAGCTATAGGAGCTGCTTTACCACAGCGGCACACTGCTTTAGGGACATGTTGTGTCTGCGGATCCCAATAACAAAAACCTACCCAATAGCAGACAGGTCAGAGTGCACGCTGGGCATCGGCTTCTGTGCATTGTGAGCACAACACTCCTTTTCACGGATCAGATCACTGGAGAGACTAAAGAACGTAACGTATTTCAGGTACACCTGGCTCAAACTGTGCCAACACCGGCCGGAAAGTCAAAGAAAAACGAGCACTTATCTTTTTACTGGTTTGTATTAGTACATCAAAACTCCTACTTTTCTGTTAATGATAAAAATATACTTGCAAAGTAAGACAACCACTGAACAATTAAACATATAACTAAGTGTTAAAGTACATCACACTGTTACATTATACAGTCTTACTGTCAGAACCACTCTGTCATTTGATATTTTGCCAAATCTAGACAATAGTTCTTTGGAGTGGCCGAGTCCTTATAGCTGACTACACTTCATATGTCGAAACAGTTTATTCATAATCAGCACAAGTCTGCCAAAGTTGTCTTCGTGACACTACCTTTACCTCAAAACGAGAATCTTTTGAGATAAAAGCATCCTGCGTTCCTGTATATTTAGACAGTTTCCAAATGCAGTACAAACTGATTAAATATTAAAATGAGCCGTAACAGGAATGGTCTTATTTTTATATCCTCCGTGTTGACTGAAACCACAGTGCTAAGGCTCATGTAAATACTTTATAAATGTGTATTTTTGTAAATTCTAAAGACGGTTCATGACTATTTATGATATTTATGCTAATAGGCATTTTCCCACTGTTGTCTGAACATAGTTTGATTAAAGCAGAAGTGAGTGACATTCAGAACACGTTGAAAACAGTATCACTAAAACCCAGATGTTTTATGGTGGTTTCTCAGGATTCATAGTGATAATCATTGAATGGCTTTTGTATCTTTTGTCTTTTTTATCTTTATACATGCAGCTTCCAGGCAGTTTCAGCTGTGATAATAAATAAACATCATGTGGTCTCTACTGTATTGTCATGCATCATTTTTAAATAGGGCATGAGTGTATTCAGTGTTTCATTACAATTTGAATGCAAATCGACTTTAATCTCATATTTAATTACCTCTACTCCATCAGAGCTTGGTGCAGCCTTTTATTAAAGACATTAAAACAACAACAAAAATGAAAAAAGGAACCATTAATGGTGTTTCTGCAGGATGTCACTGTGGGCGTTTGGGAGTTTTTAGTTGGCTGGTGACTTCTCCAGAAACTGCTTGTTCAAAAATTCTTTCCACATCACATTTAATTTATGTGATTTTAACTTAAAACAGTAACGTTCTAGTTTCATCTCATACATATTTTATGAATGTTTCTGCGATTATATGTATGAAAAAGCCTGACTGCAGAATTAAATTTAACATGTTTATGAACTAAGTTTTAATTTCTCATGCTCCTCTTTCTCAAAATATATCCAAATATATATGTTGGTTCCTGTTATTTGTGGCTTTAGTTATTTAAAATCGAGTTCATGTTCAACTGAAACAAAATCATCACCCTGTCTGTTTTACTCTATTAAATCAGCCTTAATTCCTTTTTCATCTGAGACAAGTGTTGCTGAAAAACACGTGAACAGTTATTCACAGTTTGTGAGTAACTGAACAGTTTGGGAAGTGGGCATGCTGCCAACCACCAAAACGGCCTCATCTGTCACTACTATTACCCTCTTATGTTTTTTTAGCAAGTCAAAAATTCAATAACGAGTTAATTTTTATATGGGCAGTCTTTTATTCCTACAGTTACATCCATGTTGCCTTAACTTCTGCTATATTTTTTTTCTCAGTGCTCTGTTTACTGCGGTTTTCCGTGCAGCATTACAAGTGTGTTTATTCATTCGGAATGAAAACTGCTTTCATGTCACACCTCAAGTCCTACAGCAGTGGCAGAATATCTGCCAGAATACGCTTCAACAAAATCAAGAGAGAAAGTTCAAGTTTGGAGGCAGGCCGAGCAAAGACACCGCAGCTGACAGACGTCTTGATTCAGAAAACAGTGAAACAATGGAGCTATTGTTTTAGGCCCTTCACGCCAGTCCCCATGAAACAATTAGGGACTCTCTGAAGTTATTCCCCATAGTCCAATGGGGTTTAGTCAAGTCTTTTGTCTCCATTCTCTGACAGTGTTTGCCCCAAATTGAGAAGAGGCCATCTAGCTTTGTTCCTGCTAAGAAATTCCTTTTGCAAATATTTATACATACCATGCATGAGGTACTGATATGATGGTACTTCCCCATCGCCACAGATTTGTGTCCACTTTGGCCATTGGTAAAGTTTAAGAAGTGTATAATTATGGTAAGGACTGCCAACCTAATGAAAAGCAGCTTTTTTTTGTCAAGTATCAGTTTTATTGACCATAGGATCTAAACAGTGCGTAGGTAACGGGTGTAGTGGCTGATTCACCGAGTATGTTCTAAGGCCACTTAGTCTGCAAGGGTCGTGTCTCAACGAAATTAGATTCCACTTTCCTGTAGATATTTCCACAAACCTGCTCACAAAGCAGTTGTAGCTACATGTTACTGAAGTTCTACATGTTCCACGTTTACTTTTCATGTACTTTCACAATCAAAAGTTGAAATCAGTACACAGTTCATTCCTTACAGACTTCTCTGGCTCTATGTAGCTTTTTAACACATGGACACACCGTGGCAAAATAAAAAACTGCCTTACAGCACTACACCTTAAATAAAGCAACAACATTCATCCACACTTCAGTGCAAAGCAGAGTGATAACAAAATAAGTCCAATCATAGCTTTAGCCTGGCCTGTATCAACTAGACCACTCAAAATGAACATGAACCTCTGTATGAATTTGGGCAACACATGGCACATACCAACTAAGCTTAATTAGCTTTCACAGTGGGTAAAAACCATAGAATAATTGTCATATAATAATAAAACACTGTGACCTCATAGCATGCTTAACTACTATGACCTACTAATTAAGGCCTCTGGATTTAGCTCTCCATAATCATCACTTCATAGCCAAAGACCCACGCTGTTGTGATCTAATTCAGATTAAAGATCAGTTATCACTGTCTGATGTGTTTCTCCACTGGTGCAGGGTTGCTCTCTAAGGCCGCAATGACTGCTGGATGATAATCGGATGACCCGGATCTAACTGTAGAAGTCTGGCTCAGTTTGATGCTCCACTGCACCAGTGCCGTCCAGTGACTGAGGATCCCTGCTGCCAAGTGTGAACGTCTCTATTAGAGGGTCTTCACTGACCCATGCTCTGTTTGATCACCCTTTTTCCATCCTAATTTGGCACCTGAACAGCTATCGTTTGAAAAGCAGCATTGTTGGTCCAGCTGAGAAGCGAGCTGAACACGGGACCATGGGTGCAACTTCAGGGGGTGAGTGAATACAATAGGTTCCTATCTGTAAACAGCCGCAAAGGACCCCCAGCCCACACTGTCCCTCTGGAAAGTGGTGATGATGTTGTTAGCACGTTTTACGTGAAGGACATCGAGGATCTCTCACTGTGATAAATAAGGACAGCAGAGTGATGTTGTGTCAGGCGAGCCGCTCACTTCAGGACACAGGACGTCCTGAAATGATCCAAAAGGACAAACAAGACTTTTTTGTAGCGTTTTGTGTGATTAGACCTTTATTCAGAAGGTACTGAGTAAATGCTTCAGAATAGCTCTCTAAATGTCACTTAAGGTGACCAGCAGCATTAGTATCTTCCAAAACAGGCAACTTTAGTAAAGAGGTTTGGTATAGTGCCAGAGGCAGCTGTTAGAATTCACTCCCCTGTTTTCTACTGCTTAAAGTGCAAACAGAACACTCATGATCACCTACCTGGCCAATTCACAAAGTTTGACATAAAATACTCCATAGAAATGACACAAGTTAAAAGAACTGACAGTGGTGAGTCAGGCTTTCTTTGGATAAAGAGATTGTTCAAATACCTTAACATACAATGTTTTAAAGCTACTCTTCTAATCACTGCATTTTTTTAAACAGATGTGTACAATAGTGTCATGTCCATAGGAGTGAAACTACAGGAAAGTCGAACACAAAGTGCTTCAGCAGTCTGAGCAGTGGTGGATGTATCGGTGTGAGTTGATGGTTGTGCCTGGGAAGGAGGCTGAGGTTCAGGGAAGGAGGAGGGTTGACTGTTGGGTGGGATGATCTGATCCAGGAAGGTTCGCTTAAGTGGCTCGTTTACCCCTCGTGTGGAGCTGGTGAACTGGAGCCAGGTCAGCTCTGGGTTGAGGTGTTGTTCATTATTTTTCCGCCTGTCGGATCCTATGACCGGTCGCCAGAGACGGAGGCCGCTCGGCAGCCGAGGAGCAAAGGGCCTGCCGGTGGGGTACGTCAAACACGCTCAAAGCCTTTCCCTTTACTTGGGGGATTAAGATCAACAAAGCATGTCCCACACCTGCACCGGCCAGCACAATGGAAACTCCCCGGGCCAATGAAGACGCAGGGAGAGACCAGTTATTAGAGGCCCCCACCAATGAAATGGATTACATTAACCCCTTCTGTTGTTCTTCCTCCAGGAGCTTAAACATCGAACTGACAGAATCCGCGTCCCATTGAGAAAAATCCTGGTAGCACTTAGTTACAATAGCTTTACTCTGGCTTATCCTCCAGTCGGGAAACATTGTGTCTCTCTTGTTAAACTGTGCCATGACTTGATGTAGTGCTGTAGTACTCCTTTATACTTTTACTCCATTAAATCAGGTGACAAATATTGTACTTTTAAACAGTGAAACTTATTTGGCAACTAGTTGGTTACGTAGTATTTGAAGATTTAAAAAAAACTATAATCAGCATGTGAAACTTAAGGCATCACTACACACAACAGTTTATGAAATAAGCAAAATTAGCTCTTCTGCCAAGTACAGTGTTTGAATACATGCATTATTAATAATAATCCAATGATATAACATATTACTGTGTGCCCCCGTCCTCACCAACAACACCCCCCACACACATACCCTCCCTCCTCCTCTTTTCTCCTTTAATTGGGCCCTGCTCCTGGCCCTTCTCCAGATCACAGTCACTTTACCCTGCGTAATAAGCTATTAGCCCCCCACACACACACACACACAAAAACATGCTAATCCACACGGACATGGTCACTGTGTGGGACTGGGTCTCTGGACAGCACAGTCCACCTATTGTTATTGTCCAGACTTCTCAGAGGTCTCTTCCTCCCTCGTTCAAAGGGAGGTAACAAGCTGCCCCCCCTAGGAAACCACAAAACAAACTATAACACCACTGGTTCAGCCAGCTTACTTAGGTAAAAACATGACTTTCTGCCTTATCTCAAAACATGGAGCACCTGTTAGAGAAGTAGACTCCCACACCAACTGAAACCACACCAGCCATTACTAATAAATTGTTTTATTAACACACTTTATCTGTTCTGAAGGGACAAATGTGCATCATACCAGTACTTCATGTGCAGTTTACTAACCATAAGTCAGATTTGTAGGGGTTATTTAGGGTCACTAGAGAGTAAAGTAGACTCTTACATCATAAACATATCATGTGCAGTGCAGTCTCTTCTTGTAGGGTTCACAATATTTGTCAGTGTTTAATTCTCCTGTACATTTTTTGTCAGAATGTATCTGATGGAAGGGGAGCTTTATGTCACACGATGGGGCTGAGGAGGGAACCTTCCTAAACCTCCTCCCAAACAAGTCCCAACACCTCTGGATAGAAGATCAAGGGGTTCGACATGGCCTTGGTGCTGCAGCCGGTCTGAGGCATTAATACTTGCACACAAACTTGGCAGTGAGGATGACAGAGCTGGGTTTTATGCTAGGGATGTACGGACTTCACACTCACCATTTGTCACTTGGAGAAAATTCTGAACATCTGCTGCTCCAGGTCTGATATATTGGCAGGTAAATCAAGGATGTGGCGGAAACCCAATTAGTGGAGAGATAATTTTAACCAAAGATGTCAGAGGTTCTGCACATGTGTTTAAATCTGTGTGTGTTCAGA